ATCTTTGCCCCGGCGCCGCGCTGGCGGCTGTTTGTGTTTCACTGGAGCCGTGCTCAGGTAGGTCGGCACCGCTGGATGACAGGGTAACACAGGCGAACACGGGGAACACGGATCACAGAACACACAGGCTGTAGAGCGGCACTCTGGTCCGTCCGACCCACCCTGACCTGACCCTACCCGGCCGCACCGCCCGCGCCAGGGAATGTGGCTGTTCCGGTGCTGCAGTGTGGGTGCACGCCGCACGGCATACCGACGCCAGTATGGGTAGCGGTCAGGGGCGTGTCACGTGCCCATAACCACCGCTGATTGGCGGCGCCGCGGCTCCTGGGAACCTCGGCGGCTGATGCCCGGCCTCCATGAAGGGCTGTGCAGCCAGCATGAAGGACAGATGACCGTCGCGTCGGCGGCGGCGCGGCGCCGGCACAGACGACGCCGTCACGCGGCGTCAGGAGGTGATGAAGATGGCGTGCGGCTGGTTTAGAGGTGGCTAGGTGTAGTGCGTCCGCCGACCGTCGCCCCCCGTCCGGTGGAGGAGCTCGAGGGTGGCGGTTCTCTGCTGTGTGACCGAGACGCTCGGCTGGACACGACCGAGGAGCGTCCGCTGGATGGTGCTGGGGGAAGAGGTGCAGCCTGCCGCAACTATCGCCCGATCGGTGATGGAACTGGTGATGTGGTGTCTCTGATCGTCTGATGTCGCCATCAGATTAGCATGCGACCTGGGGATCTTTGGTGATGTGTTCCACTTTTTGTTAGCGCTTACCAATACACGTTTGGAATATTATTCTATTGATGGTGCTGATAAGTGATAGCCATCTTATTCTTTTAGGAGTTTTATGTTAGCTTTGTGATATTCAATGTTTTATTTAAGGTGAAACGGGCGAAATTAATATCATGCATTGCACACTGCCATTAAAATATAACTTCTGTTAGCGCTTATTAGTTAACTAAATTTATGTCACCATTCATAAAATGTGGTGACCTACATGATTGCCAAACTGGTATCCCTACTTTTGCTTGTCTTGGAACATTGTAGCCTGCTCCACTAGAAAGTGGAACCAGCTAAATTTGGTTTCAAGTGTAGGCAACGGTAACTAGCTCGTCATGGCCTGTCTGACAACAATAATAAGCCCCATTCTATTGCCATTGTTTCAAATTTCATTCATTCGTTTTCTGGTAGTCTCTCATTTCACTTCAACAATTCGTGAGCTCTGGTATGATTGTGTATTGTCTATCAGAATTTGTTCAATTTTAGCTTTCAAATGCACTCATACGGCGCCCGCATTGTGTATTGTCCGTCGCTAGGGAAGCACGCTTGTTTTCCGCTTCGACGCGCCTGTTTTCGACTCTGCAGAAAACGTGCACTCCCGTCTTTATCTGACACCGCTCTTCCTGCTCGAAACACGGTCCATGACGCCTGCATGCCCGCACCAAGCTGTCAAAGTATAAATCTGTATGATCGACGGGAGAACTACCGACAACTTCGCCTCACGAGACCGCGGCTCTGCAGTTTGTGCAAGCCATCTGTGCTCCCCGAATCTGCCTCTGGCGCCGGCCTTAGCAGATTTCGGCCGCTGCATTGCAACATACATGTCTCCATCGCGGTGCAAACCAGTATCCCTAGGGAACACGAGCCCGGAGATACGGCAGCGGACATGTTGAGGTCCAGCTCTGCACCAGCCCCAGCCCCGACCCCGGCCCAGACTGCAGCTCGTATCACGACCCGAGTGAATGATTGTCCGGTCGGAGACGGAGACACTAATGTCCGTGCCCTGTCCCCAGAGACTGGCATGACCGGAAGACCATCGGACAAATGATAGTCGTTTGATCTCTGCCCGTGGCGACAGGGCGGTCCCAAGGGTTTGGTTTGTCTGGAGTAAAACAGACGTCGGCATATACCTAATTGCGGGCTCTGTTTGGTGAAATGTGTTACCTTGGGCCACTGTGACTTTGTGACGTGGACTGGGTCTCCCAGTTAGGCCTCCCGCTAGGGGAAGTTGGGGCAATGCCGGAGTTGGGGCAAAGCCGAAATTCGAGATATTTCGAAAACCGTAAGACATGGATGCCACCTGTCAGTGATGCTCTGAAGCTTAAGTGACTACAATTATCGCATGTTTGTTACGAGTCGTCATTCGGAATACTTCGGCTGTGAGGGCGCCAAGAGCGTTTTCAAGGTACGCGTTCCTTGTACTACATGCGCCTTTGAAGCTGCATTTCTTACTCATTATGCTACCGTTTGTCTGGCCAATTCGGTCAAGTAATCTTCAGCATGTCTTTGCATTAGTGTGCTGCCTATTTGAAATTTATACGACACGTTGAAAAGTTATGGGCCTGCAAATGAAAGTATGGCTGGCTGGGGTAATGCCGAAAACGTGCAATTACGCACGTTAAAGCACGCTACGTGCACTTTACTGCTGTAGAATAGCAACGCGAATTTTTAGTCACACAAATTACACTTTCAACCGACACAACGGCCTGTTACCTATAAGGAATTATTTACCTGGCATTTTCTTATTATATCACACAATTGTAACTTCCAGTGTGCACCAAGCGTCCTCAAGCTCTTAAAACGCGTGTCAGCTTTGATAAATTCTGGATAAAGTTTGAGATAAAGTGGCAAAACATCAATGTCGGCATTCCCCGTAGATCATTTCTCCCATTTTCGGCTTTCCCCGCAGTCCGGGGCAACGCCGAAAAAGTCACTTCTTTGATATTTTTAGTTTGTGTGCATAACGGTATGCGAATTCATCAGATGCGCCTGGTATGTTTGAAAGGCAAAAGACTGGCCTCTCGAATGATGCCAACAAGAATAGTTTATGTTGTCTACCTTGCGTGCTACGGGCGTCAGAAAAAAGTATTCGGCGTTCCCCCAACTTCCCCTATGGTCTTCCAGTGATGATCTGTTGTTCAGAAATTTTCGACTTATGCAATCGTTTCTATTATTCTATAGTCTTTTTTTTTTAGTATGACAGTATGACCGCGGGGTATTTTAGGATCGCAATTCTTCTGCCGTAATGTCTTGTTTTCTCCGGAGTGCGGGATGCGTCGGGATCCCCCAGTGGTCTGGCAGCGCGTTCTGAGATAGAGATTGCAGCTGAACTGACTCGCGAGATGCATCGTGCACTAGTGCGGAGCGAATGACCGCAGTTGTCCGGTCGTCCGGTGGTCTGATCTTTCGTACGTCGAATGGTCGGGCGAGCCGTTCGTTCAGTACGGTCGTCAGCTAGCCCGGCCGTTCAATGGTCCGATGGTTGGGTCGTCTGGTACGCTGGTTCGATGGTCCGCTGGCTCGGTTTTCCGGCAGTCCGGCCGTTCAGTGGTCCAGCGCCGGTCAGCACGCCGCTCCGGCCTGCAGACTCGACACACGGTCACGGCGCCGGACAGTCGGCAGGGTCATCGCTCTCAATTCACGGACGACATGCCGGAGACCCCTGACCGACACGGACCGGGCTCCACGCCGCCCGGCGAGGTCAGCATAGCGGTCATGCGGGTCACATCGAAACTGGCTGCTTGGGTTAGAAATGAGGGTGTAATTTTTCGAATTCTGGCGGTGGCTGATGGTTAATCGTTGAGGCAGGAGGTGGCAAAATAAAAAATGGCGTATTATCGTACGACCTAACAAATGAGATGGAGTCTATGGGCTTCCACAGATGGAGTGAGCTTCCCGTGAACATAACATGCAGTTCGTGACTCGTGAGTCTCGCCCGCGGCAACTCACGAAACTCCGTGACTGTACCACTAATGTGAAACCGAGCCCGGGCCGGGCCAGTTCTGCTGCAGCTGCAGTTCGTGGCCTGTCCCATAAGACCTTCTGTCTCCGGTTCACGAACCAAGAGACGGCAACATAACGGAGCCGTGAACTCACGGAACGGCCGTGCCGCTGTCTCCCTCGGCCAAATGTCGTGCTGGGATTTACAGAAGTCGCCGATCCGTGGCCGGGTGGGATTTCCTGTCTGGTCGATGCACATTGGGCGTGTCCCGCGCCGTGAGCCCACAGCTGCGGTTTTACGGTGCCGGGACAGATCGTCGTGTGCTCGGGAGTGCGTCTGGCCGGCTGTGACGGCCAACGCCTCTTCATTCGGCCCGGGGATGAGTGTTCAGCCTCTCCGCGGAGCACACCGGTGCAGTGTGCATCGCCGTGAGGGCCCGCGACAGGTACCGTTGGTGACAGTCCCGTGCGACTCTCCGGCTGACACGCTCCCTGATGAGCTTGGCTGACGGCCAGCGTCGGCGCCGACACGAGGCTCTCGCGTGTCGTCGGCGGCGGCGTCAGACTGTCGACCGTCCGACGGGAGAGCGAGGACGCGTGCCGTGCCGTGCCGTGCCGTGTCGCGTCGCGTCGCGCGGTGTCGTGCCCGTCGCCCCGCCCCGCCATCACACCGCACGCGCAGCCGTGGCCCAGTTCGGTGGGAGCGTGGTAAGCGCCGCGCCACCACCGTGTACGGTGCGCCGGGTTTGTCACGGCCGCGCAGGAAGGACAGCCGTGGGCTGCCGTCACGCCTCTCGCCGTGGTCTGTCGGCTCGGTAGTGGCGGCTCTCAGGGACACCCGTCCCCAGCAGCCCGTGTTTTCCCGTGGTGCCGCCCGTGACGGTGTTCGTGAGTGATCCGTGACGCATCGGGTGACGTCATCTCGGAAGGAATGAGTACAGATCGGTCTGCACCGAACGGCTCTTCCGCTGCTGTCGCTGTAATTGGGCGCCCTTGGTCGTCCAGGGTCTCTGGTCTGATTGTCGGGGCTGGCCGCTGACTGTACTCCGTCCCCTCCCCCCCCCGCTACAGTTCAGTGGAGTTTGACGAAACAGCCGCGCTCGGAACCACCTTGAACACGGACAGGTGTAACCGTGCGCTTTATCATCGGTAAAAATAACGCACTGTCCACGCCGGGGCCGCGGTGCTAGCTGAGCGTTTCGACCGGCTGAGGTGCACCTGCTTCCCATGGAATGGGTGGCAAGCGGAGTCTTGTGGCGGGTGGACTGCTCACAGCACTGTCTGTCTGTTCCAGTGAGCTGCTTCTCGCCCAAATCAGCCGACAAACGGCGCAGTGAGGGCGACATCTCGGACGAAGAGGGCGACCCGAACGGCGTCGGCCGGCACCGGCGGCAGACGGCGGAGACCTGGGGCTGCGCCGATACCGACAACGATAAACACATCGACCCCGACACCGGCGCTCCGCGACCACTCGGAGAACAGGTGAGCGAGACGCACTGGGCCGCAGGAGTTCAGAGGATTTGATAAAGTGTGCTGTACAGCGTAGCTTTATGGCGATATTGTGATAGTCAGGCCTAAATTATAGGTTGAGGCATTTAATAAGGAAAGTTTATTTGGCCATTATAATAAATAAATGACAGGTACATTGGCGTACGGGTTCAAAAGTGTACATTTATCAACCATCAACAGTTGTCGACCATTTTGACATACATGAGCCTCATCTAAGGTGTGTTTAAACTCTGTTCTCTTGTTGTGCCAGCATTGTTGTTAATTTTCTTAATTTCCGCCTCCATACACCGTTATCAAACGTCAATTTTTCAATTTAATTCTTCGAAGGCAGGATACGAACTTTTACGGGAGCAAAGTTGTACTTGGCGACAGTGTCTTAGCACATTTGCAATGACTGACGCCTTGGTCCAAAATAATGAAACTATATAGGTATATGATCATTTGACATGTTTTCCTCACTTCTATGGCCGTGTCCCTGCCTTAAACATGTTCAATCTGTTACATATTCCCTGTTCTCGGGTGCAAGTGTTCGCAGTTTGTCGATAACCATTTCGCTATTTATTAGGCACACCACACGTGACACATATTTTCGAATGACAACAATGGGAGCCACTGTTGAATCATCCACACTTTCTCCTCAAACAGTAATACCCGGCTTTCACCGAGTTGTAATTATTTTTAAGTTCATGATTTTTATTGTGGATTCGTATGTAGCGTCCAAAGCAAAGGTATAATGCGTCATCATACAACACATTTATTGCTTCACCTGAACGTCCTCCTTATACGGTAGTTCCAGCGCAATAGCTCACCTCAGTTCTCGTTTCACCAATTTGCATTCCGCCGCGTCTCGTGCGGTCATTCTGAGGGCACGGTGCAGCGGACGGGGTGAATAGAACCTGCCATCTACAAAAACGGCCTGACGCGGCCGGCGCCGACCGCGGGGTGCACATGCGCTGCTGCCCTCGGCTGCACGGCCCCGCGGCTGACTCACGGGGAGGGAGGCGGTTCTGTTTGTGTTTGGTTAGCCACTGGGAGTGACGAAACGCCCCCTCCCCGGCCGCGCCGCCCCCTCGAGTCCCCCCCCCAGACCGGCGCTGCACCCGAGACGACCGAGTCAGGTTCAGTCTGACGCAGCGAGTCTGCTGTCGACTCGGCGCCAAATGAATCGTCTTATCTCTCCAGTTTATCGCAATTGAAATGTGCGCCGTTATTGTCTAGATTACAGTTTACACCTCGAAATCTCGATATATCGCAAATCAATCTGCAGCTTCAGAGCAGCAGAGAGCAAATATCACATTTCTTTAGGACGTGCAATGGCGGCAATGACGTGAAAGGGCATTTCGTATGGAATGTGTATGTCGAAGCGGCTTAATTTTCACTGCTAGTCAAATGTCGAATGTGAGAATTTTAACGCTAATTTGAACATTAGCGTATGATTATGAAAATTACGTGCCAAATTCATTCACAATAATTGCAAGGTATTCACAGCCTTTTCAGTCGCTTATCAACTCAAGACATTTGACGCGCTAAATGCCATGTGTGTAAGTCAGCTAGGTACAGACATTTGGGAAATTAGCTTAAACCAACGCTTCGAAGGCGTTTGTGTAGATGTTGAAAGCATTATATACCGCTGTTGGTTGTCTAGCGAGTTATCGCTTGATATCTTTTTGGTCAATCATTACGTAAACAAAACCTAATAGCGACCATTTAACGTGGTCATCAAATCCAGGTCTAGCCTGTCTAGGGCCAGGGGTCATCCGCTAAATGACATGTCATTGCAAATCTCCCTTCACATATGCCGTTTTCTCAGTGTTACCTCACCGCCAGATTTGCTGGCTCACACCTTCTGACGTTACGAGTGACTATATTGGACCTGTGTCACACTGGCAAAGCTGTGACTGCCAGCGTCACCGGGGTATAAGCTACTCACCAGGCTAGCCTGATAGCCGCTGACTGCTGACTATACGAGTGGTTTCTAACACCGGGCTTCCGGAGTGTCGCTATATCAATCCCGTTCTATTCTGGGTATAGTTTCACTGTACCGAGTTATCAATACGTTGACCGGTCGCGTGGTATGATAACGACTGACGTGAGGACTCTAGTCCCGATTGAGGCGCTCCAAGATGCTAAATATAATCACAGGTCAAATTTATTCGCTGCAACATCCTCCGCTCTGTCAGCGTTAGCACGTCAAAGCACACGAAATATGTGTGTGCAGCTCTGTCAGAATACAAGCAGAGTCCAGCCTATAGCACCGTCACGCTCCCTGCCTCCTCGTAGTCTGGGACGACACGTCGGCTAGTTTTATTAGCTGTTTGACGACGCGCCGTACAGAGAATGGACTCAATTAGTGAGTGGCTGACCAGGTCGTAAAACAATCAAGTGTAGTTCACAAACGCTGCGGAGCGTCAGTCGAGTCCCCCAGCGTGACGCACGGTAAACGAATTTCGGAGAAGAGCAGGCGCGTTCCGACTGAGCGAAGAAGTCAATTGGTCTGTCTCGCCGGCACCGCGCCGTCACCGGTCATTGGTCAGTGGTAGCTCACTGGTCACTGGTCAGTGGGTGTGACTCGCCTCCCTAGTGGCGCAGTCACCTCGGTCGGATGTTTTTGTTGGCGCCCCGAGCGGCCAGTGGGAAGGTAGCGTGACATCAGCGGAACTCCGGCCGACTCATCCGCCTCCTCGCCGCCCGTCGGCCGGCCCGGAGGGTGAGGTGACCACTGGTCGCCGTCCACGCCACCCACCCGCGTGGGTCGCGCTGTCAACGGTACCGCCTGAGCGTCACGGCACACACGTGACGTGAGTTCAGCCGCGGGGGGGAGGAGGGCGGCAGTGGCACATACGCACCGCTGCGTGCAGGCTCGCCGGCGGCGGGCAAAACCTGTGGACGCTGCGAGGACCTCACCAGGTCACCGGCTTGTCAGAGTTTAGCACTCTGACGTAACCTCTACGGCTGAGAAGCTGGGTCAGAATTCGGCTTATTCCGAGTCCGAGTCAGTGGGTTATCAGTCCCTCAGCCGAGGCAGATGACGGGTTGGTATGGGTGCATCATCCAGTTAGTCGGGTTGACACATGACGCTCTAAGCGAGCAGCTGATTTCAGGGCTCGTTTGCTGCGCTTATTACCGGATGTGACTCAACATGTATACGGGTGGTAATGCATTGTTCATAACCATGAAGAAGATTTCAATGGATTAAAAAGTGTCGTAGGCGCAGAAGCGGCTGTTTATATGTCGCAGGGCAGGGAGACAGTATTTTATTTATTGGTGACATTTTTAAGACACCAAGTAAAGGCGACAATAGAAATTGTTTACAGGTGCTCGAAACTTGAGTGGATGGCTTGCAGTGACCAAAAATGAATGACTCTTCTTAACAAATGATATTCATACGCGCAGTTTTATGAGCAACTGCTGCTACAATGTCGCTACAATTCTGCTACAATTCAACAATGTCGAGCTGCTACAATTGCTGTAAATGTCACCTGCACGCCGTCCGAACCCTTTCCTTTTAACCCGCGTGCACCGGACCGAGCCATAAGGCGGATGTGGCGCTCGCCGACGCCGGCCGGCCGGGCCTTTGGCGTCCGCTGGGAACCGAGCGGTTACCGATGGTTACTGGGCGGTTACCGGATGGCTACCGGACGCCGCTCAAGGTCGCCGCCGCTGGAATTCCAGTCGGCAGCACCGGGCCGTCGTCATCGCGGCCCAAATAAACATCTGTGCCCTGAGGCCTGACGGCGCGGGGTGGCCTGGGGTAGGTGAGCGTCGCCGCCGCTGGCCTCCGCCGAGACGTCTGGGCAGTGGTGACATTCCACGCCGTTGTCACCTCAGCAAGAGTGAGGCAAAACATGTGCCTCCTCAGCCGTGTCGTATGGTGGCGACGGTCGAGCTCTAACCGTGTTGGGTTCACGGACCGCTGTGGCAGGGCGCGCCGTGCGGCCACTTTGATGGTTATCGTGCGATACGGAGAAATCATAATGGGAAACTCGTGAGATTGGGTTGAGCGTGGCTATCGGTTTGTAGTTCACACCCTTGGTTTATCTTTCCTTGCAAATGACAGAGCGTGTGACATTTTTTCCTATGAATAGCACACGGACAGGAACACGATGTTAACTTTAGCGCAAACGTGTTCTGCCATTGTTCGCTTTTAAAAGTTCATATTTCGCGATCCAACGGGCCGATTTTCACCATCCGTGCGGTGCCGGCCGACTTGGCGTCCACGCCGACTCCGTCTCTCGTCTCCTGTCTCTCGTCTCCCGTCTCCCGTCTCCCGTTCACAGTCTCCATGCCTCCCGTCGCCGTCGTCCGCAGACGATACCATCCGTCCCGTTCCGTTGCGTCCCTTCCCGCCCGTCCCCGGTAATGGCTGGTCGTTCCCACGGTATCCAGCGCGGTGCGACCGTTACGTCGGCACGCTGTAATGGCCGCGTCTCCACCGGACGTCCGCCGTCCGGCCGCGTCGCGATCCGATCGGTATCAACGCCCTATCGCAGCTTCTCTTCTCTCATCCTCCTGACTTCTCAGCTCCTGATTTCTCACCCAGCTGTTCCCTTATTTTCCTCTCTCTTCTCTTTTCCTTGTCTCTCGTGTTCGCCGCAATCCTTACGCCATCTTTATTTTTCTTTATTGTATTCACCACTCAGTACCCTCCTCATCTCTGTTCTCAATTCTCATCCTACTTTTCCATGTTTTCAGATATCCGTAGCTTTCTCCCTCTCTTCTTTTTCGTTTGATACGCTTCTATGGATAAACTTGGCTCGACCGTCCGGCGTTTCAAGACTAAAGGTAACAAATGATGATACTTTGTGCTCGCTAGAAGCTGGTAAGCAGCGAACTCTCTGCAAACTTTGAGTCTCAGGGGCTGCGGACCCATCCAAACCAGTCGACTTTCTGCTGGAGTAGATGCCCGAATCGTCCAGAAGGCTGTGGATCTTTCTGGACCCGACATACATATAGAGTCAGAAGCCGCTGAAGTC